TTACACCCATAAATTAAATAGAGTACAGAATAAAACCAATCGCATACGTATCAAAACCAGTCCAATCTGGACTGGTTTTGAATAGGGATATTAAATTGCAAATCCAGTTCAGTCCGGTTCTAGGATCTATAAAGATGGTCCCAAACTTGATACAAAAGCTGTTAGTTGATCGATTCTAGGATTGGATCAGAGCCAGTGGATTTTAAAATAGCGTTATTTTTTAGCAAAATAGCTAGCAACATTGTGCTAAAGATGCGAAATTCGCTACTTTTGTACTAAGCATGTGACTATTATTTTTGTTCTTAAACTGATTTATATAAACGAGTAATTGTATGCATGTTTTAAATGATAACTAGAGAACTTACTAAAATGGTAGATTAAGAACCCATCGAAGAACATACGACTACATTAAAATTTATATTTTGACAAACATAAATTTTGTAATAAGCTATTTTGCTAAATTTGCAAAATTTACTAGCTAATTTTGCTAACTAGTTTTGCTTCTAACGACCACTGGTTCTGGATTGGATTCTAAATTACAATTATTTAAAGGATCGAGTCCTTACCAATCCTTTGAAAAGATCAGGACTCGATTCCAAAGGACTGATTAATATTTCTAGTTTTGGACCAGTTCTAAACTAGTCTCTAAAAAGTCTAGTTCAGACCCAGTCTGAACTCGTTCCCCATAGATTACTTAATATTTCTATACTATCGTACTGTACTACTTTACTAACTACTTAGCCAAATATCGTTATTTAGCATGAGTATTATTTTGGATTAAAATTTATCTTTGTCTCTCATGTACTGTATATATACTTAAAATAGTATATTATTTGTGAAAATATAGTTTTGGATCAAAAGCATGTTTAAGCTAACATATCTAGACAATACATGGGCGCTGTTCAATAAAAAAGAGATAAATCTTTTTTTAAATCTGGTCAATTTAAAAAGAGATTTAGAGCCCACATGTGTATAAATACGTGGTTTAGCAGTATTTAAAATCCAATTTATATATGTGCTTCAAAATAGTATCCAAGTTTAAACACAAAATAACAGGTTTAAACAGAATAGTATATATTTTTATGTGTACTGTAGTTATTAATTCACGTTGAAAAATACCTAAAAGTATCATTAATCTGTAAATTAATGCATATTCTTATCTAATTTGTGTACTTTAATCGTGTCAAAATTAAAAAAAACATTAGAATACTCAAAAAAGATTTCATTATAAATAATAATAAAATTAATATACTGGCAACTACCATTTTAATAAAATTTTCGTTCTAATTTTTTTTCAAAAGTTAAAAATCAGTATGGCAAGTCAAGATAGTGAATTAGAAGATCTGGATCAGAATAATAATAATAATAATAATAATAATAATAATAATAATAATAATAATAATAAAAATTTGGGTGGAAGACCACGCCATCCAATTTGGAGCTTTTTTAATGAAGGAGAAGAAATAGATTCAGGTCATCGGTCAGTTTCTTGTAATTGTGGTACATCTTGGAAAAGAGGAAGGCCTTCTGCTTTGGAACGGCATATTTTAGTTGAATGCAAAACAGTTGAACCACATGTTAAAGAAGCTGTACGAAGAATGATAGAAACACGTGAAAAAGAATTAACTCAGAGCAATCGTAAAAGAAAAGCAAATGATGATCAACAGGAAATTAATAGTTATTTTGAAAGTTTAGCACTAAGTAATGAACAAAAAGCAAGTTTCGATATTTCTCTTATTAAGCTTTTTGTTTGTGGTGGACTTTCTTGGCGACTTGTAGAACATCCTTTTTTCATTGAATATGTCCAACAATTACGACCAGCTTATAATCCGCCTCTTCGCAAAACATTATCTAGTACATTATTAGATAATGAAATCTTACGTGTTCATACAAAAATTTATCATATATTAGAAAAAGAAAAAAATTTAACTCTAGGTAAATAAATTTTTTAAATATAAATTTGTAATTATTATATTAACTATTTATTATTATTATCTTTAGCTTTGGATGGTTGGACGAGCCCTGATGGAAAAGCATTATGGAATTTTATTATTCATACTTCTAATGGTAATGATATACTTTGGAAAATACTAGATTTTTCTGATCGAAGTCATACAGGCCAGTATCTTGCTGAACAAATTGAATCCGTTTTAAATGATATTGGAAATCACAAATTTTCTGCTATTGTAACTGATGCAGGACCAAATATTAGTGTAGCACGACGTATTATTGTTCAAAAATTTCCACATATTTTTAATATTCGCTGTATTGCACATTGTCTTAACCTTATTACTAAAGATATACTTAAACATACCTTTGCAATACGAATTATAAATTGGTCAACTGTAATAACATCTTATTTTAGTAAGAGCCACTTGCCAAAAAATTTACTTGAATCTAAAATTAAGGACAAAAAAGTTGAAGGTGGAAGTTTAAAGACATATGTTAATACACGATGGACTACAGCATATGAAATGCTTTATTCAATTTATCGACTTGAATTATGTTTAAAAGAAGTATACTGATAATATTTATTATTATATATTGTATTATAGTAATATATACTGTATATTATAATTAACTATCGCTATTTTTTTATTTTTAAAGATTATTAATGAAAATCCTAATATTATAATGAATGAAATGGTCCGGACGATTATTTTGCGAAAACGAGGATTTTTTCAAGATGTTTACGATTTAATGAATATTCTTAAACCTGTTAAAAATGCGATTATTTTTTTAGAAAGACAAGATGCAAATCTTGCCGATTGCTTTTTTGGGCTTGCACAACTTGGAGCAGTTATTAAAACAATATCAGAAATTGATCACAAAATGTTTCGTTATCATTGTATAAAAGTTTTTAATTCTCGCTTTAAAGAATTTGACTTTGATGAGCATTTACTTGCTTATTATTTGCATCCAGGATATCGTGGTAAGTATAATTTAAATATATATTATATTTATATTAAAGTTTATAATTTTATAGATAATTAAAAATTTATTAGGTATTGGTATTGTTGAAGGTCAATTTATACGAATTAGTACTACAGCGGCTACAATATGGCAACAAATGATGAAAATTAATAGTATCGCTACAATAATACAACAAAATAAACATGCTAAGCGAACAGCAGGCCAGATTCTAATAGCACAATTACGTGATTATCATATTCAAAGAGCACCTTATAATGCATCTTATATGGTTAATATTGATAGTCCTCAAACATGGTGGAAAACTTGTGAATCAAAATTTCCATATCTACGATTATTAGCTATCAAATTGTTTTCTGTTTCACCACATGCAGCTAGTTGTGAGCGAGTTTGGTCAATTTGTGGTTGGATTTACGGACAACGGCGTACAAATCTTTCAATTGAAAATTTAGATGTAATTGCTCAAATTCGTTCATACTATATTGCAAACAATAAATTTGAATTACCACGGTATAGTATGAACAAATCAGCTGAAGATATTAGAAAAATACTTTATGATGCAGATCTTTATGAAGAAACTAATGCAATTACCTTTGAACAAGCTATAATAAATGTTAATATTAATCAGTCTAGTATAGATGATGATAATGATATTGTTTCAGAAGAATCTCTTGAGTTAGAAGAAGCTTTAGATTTATCAAATCTATCATTTTTGCCAGAAACAGGTAGACAAACTGATGCAGATATGGATGATGTTTTAGAAGCAGGGTCAAGCGACTGGTTGGAAGAATTCAATCAAGAGGAAGATTATGATCCAGCTGAATTAGGAGAAATGTTTTTGAACTATAATTAGAAATTTGAATATCGATATTATAGAAAGTTCGTAACAGTAATTCGAGGTTTTTTTTCCCACGCATATTTTTTTTTTTTGTACGTTTTTTTTTTCGTATATATTTTTGTTTTTTTTTTCGTACATGTTTGTACGTTTTTTCGTACATGTTGGTATATTTTTTTTGTATATTCGTACATTTTTTTTTCGTACATATTTTTTTCTTATATATTTTTTTCTCACATGTTCTTTTTTTGTACGTGTACATAATTTTCTTGTACATGTCTTATTCTATAGGTAATTAAAGTTTTCATATTATAGTACCTCGAATTAACTTGAATTGCTTATTCTAATAAAAGCGCAATAACAAAATGAAATAAATTTTGATCTAAAGATATCTATATGCAGCATGCAAAGCGTTATTTAATAGTATAATATTTCTGCACCAGATGCATTCGACTTTTGTTTACTCCATTAAATAATTCGATGCCAAATTTTGTTATTTTAACATATTTTACTTATTCTTACAGTGTAAATTGTTAATTCTTTCGCATTAGC